AAAAGAGTTGACAGACCTTTGAACAAGATCTGGGATATACATTATAATGATTTTCGACTGTTTTTTATATTTGAGGACAGATATTGAAAGTTTTATTTCTATAACTCTTGACAACTTCAATTAAGAAGCCTAAAATTTTAGTCTCTGATTAAACTTTACAGAAGCTATGAAATGAGTATAAAAGAGTAGGAGGTTAGAATTTTCGATGACACTACACAGAGAGCGAAAAGAAGCAAGTTTTATTAGTTTGAGTTCGGTCCGGTTCATCTCTGTTTTCGAAAGGGCGGTTCATATTTTGTTGGGTTCGTTTTCGGTTTCTGGTACGACACTACTCATTGGAGTCATAAACCCTCGTTTTACCACTTCTGGCCAATAGATAGAAGCCTATTTTCAGTAGAGAAGCGTGCTTTACATCCTGTATGCGTGCAATCTATACTGATCGGTAGTACTTCTCAAAAATTCAAAGTTGTTCTATCCATGGCATTAGCTCGTGCAAGCCGCTACAGTTTTCTAAATTACATAGCAGAGTGCTTGAGAAAGTGGTGTAATCGCTCCTAGCTTTAAAAGTCGAATCGGTCAATTGTACATAATCTTAAGCTTCTGGAAGAGAAGAAGATTATCATTTTCGAAATGAGGAAACATCTTCCTTATAGTTTCCAAGAAATCCAAGACGAATGATTACATCATCAGATAACAGACGAGTACAAACTATTTTTCAGCAAGGCATCATGCACACAGAACATAGCTCATCCATTTACTGTTTAACTTTTATTTCATTTTAGTCTACGATCATTGACTTTCTACGAAATAAGTATGCATACTTTATTTGTGACTCCTCATTTTTATAATCATCCAGCAAACAACTTGTGTATGGTCAAAATTATGCATTTACTAATCGTAAATGTCAGTGCCGTAGTAGCAATTTATCAAATCAATGTTATTCATCACATGAGAAAAATTCCCAATAGCATGTTGAATATATGGAAAACTGGCATTGATGTTCTAATACCCGAGAGAGTTACGTTTATAATTTGATTACAAATATTCTAAACTCTATGAAAGAATCAATCGTGAGTTTTCAGTTGCTGCTCAACAATCGATAGAAAGTATTCGAAGATATTTAGACAAATCAAATCGATGCCAGGATTCAAATTCGTATAGTGTTAACAAACGAGCACTCATTATAGGCCATTATTATTTTTACTTGCCGATCGATTTATTTTTGAAATTAATTCATAATGCAATAATTGTACTTCCTGCTTGTTCCAATAGTTATACTCAATCTATACACAATTCAACTGCGTAGTATTTACATTGAATTCTTTTGGAAGTTGAAAAAGCATCGTTACCACTTCTGCTGTATGATGTTAAGCTATGACTGACCGTTGAAACTATTGGTAACCGAAGACTTGAATAAAAAATAAAACGCTTTAAATTGTTTGAAGTTACTGCTTATAAACTGAAGAAAAATGGAAAATAACCATGGTTCGTATCATCATCATTTTCTTTTCATTTTATTTGTTATAGATATGAATGTGTTCAATGATAACTTTGATTTTTCAGGAAACGACAATCGACAATCTCTTGATGATATAGTTGATAAATTCAAATATTCCATTCAATTCAATCGATTAAAATCGTACGTTTCAGAACGTTATACACGTGATAGCAGCTCCTCCACCGTCTATCATCAAGGATCAAGATCGTGTTGCAGAATTTTGTAGAAAAAATGGAAGAAATATGACATGCGATAGTCGTTATTATGATGTTGCTGGAGGCCAATTCTTTCTATGATAGTGCAAAAACAGTTTATGTAAGAGTTAGTATGTAGTTGATAAATCGAATGTCGAGGATGTAGATGGTTGAATGTCACAATGTCAGTTAGGGTGTCAGCCATTCAGCGGACTGGCGTCAGAGAGACACTAGATCTGAGTATAGGTGAGTGAGTTTGTATCTTCCAGTCACCTAGATCCTCACCCACACCCTCGTTACGAAGCAAAAACAGTTCCTGTCAAAAATCGATTTTATCATTCCACTTTTATTATTTTAGCTGTTGAAAGTCTATTTCCATCGGAATTAGACTATTCCATATATTCCACATTGCACGCAAGTCAATTGAGTTATTCCTAGTTTGTCCATATTATATGCTCTGAAAAGTACCAGGATACACTGTGTTTTGATGGTAATTATTCCACTCATTTATTCTTATGTTTAGTCGATTTATATATCAAAATGAAGTTCTCTCATTTCCCAATCGAATGATGTGTAATCATATAAGAACATATCTATCGTTCCATCGCCTTCTTCCACATCAAAACTTCAGTACTACTACATTCAATATATAGACTCTACGCAGAGATGGTCGAATGAAATCAAAATATCCATAGACAAAAATGGGGGAGCATGTTAGTTCCTCGTTGTACTGATAAAACACTTACATAATTGTTCTTTGTATGTATATTATTGTCATAGTCTATGGATTATCCTCAGCTGAAATATAGAAATTCAGTCTATATGACGTATCGATCAATCAATCTTGCTTTCATCTAAGAAATGATATCGAAAGATTTGTAGAAAAGGCCGGGACAGTATGTTATTGTCTCAAAATATAGTAAAACTCATATGAAATTGACACATAATTGTGACATGAGATAGTGTTTATGTGTTTTTATTATGTGATGATCCGCTTTGAGTTCTATAAAAATAGACCTATCTTACCAAGATTTGCAAATGATAACACAATAATCATACAGAAAAATCGAAGAGTATGCATTTCAATTCAGATGATAGTAAATATTATTCTAGTTAACAGCTAACACTAATTGTAAGCCTATCTTGACATAGTTGTTTTTTCTCAGACTCATTGATCTATTCATCCTATGTGTTGTGGACAAAATATTTACAAAAGAACTGAAAAACGAACAACGAAGAAAGAACAAAAGATTTTTCTGGTAGATCTTGGGTTAGTAGCCCGCATAAAAACTTTAGATAGATGATGCGCTCTCCAGCAAATACTATGTCATTGTAGACATCGTAAGTTGTGTGGATTTTTTACGAACAATGAGTTCAGTTTCATTGAATAACGGTAACACGTCAAATAGAAGAAGAAATAGTACAAGAGAAGATATATGGGTGAATTTCGCTAACATTGTATCGTTTTCAGAAAAAAAATAAAAGTAAATATTGAGAAAATTTTAGTCAATCATTCCGTAGAGCTCCATGTATTGTATATAAATAAAGTATTTTCCCAACTGTTAGTTTCTTCTTAGATAACTGAGGGCTACAATATTCATATAGTGCATAGGATTAATAAATATGAAGTACGTTTTCCGAAACGATAATATTCCAGTATTCTGTTCGTACGTGTTTGTATATGAATGTTCGGGTATCATTTGATAAATCCCGTCAAGACCTATCAAATCGTATACTAATTAGAGTGGACTTCCCTACCACCAAAGACGATTGTTAGGTAGTCATTTTCATGGGAAGTCCATATATTGAATGTAGTAGTACTGAAGTTTCGATATGGAAGAAGTCAACCGAATGATATATATTCTTATATGATTACACGCCATTCGATAGAGAAATGAAAGAACTTCATTTTGATATATAAATCAACTAAACATAAGATTAAATGAGTGGAACGATTATCATTGAAACATTGTGCATCCTGATGCTTTTTAGAGCATATAATATGAACAAACTACTAGGAATAATTAAATTGAGTTGCGTGTAATATGAAATACATGGAATACTCTAATTATGATCGAAATAGAGTTCTAACAGCTAAAATGATAAAATTGAAACGACCAAATCGATTTTTGACAGACACTAATTGTGCTTTTTAACGACCTTTGTTCTTTCTAAATAATTGGATTTCATTGATAAACAATTAAAGCTTCAGCTGATTGCCGACTGTCAGATCCTACAGAATATCATCAGTTCGATAATGTCGGATTATTAATAAATTCAATAAGACCCTATTGAGCAGTGTTAATCCAAAAGGATGCTTGTTAAGTTACGAGCATGTTTTGAAACACAACTAGACTTTTCTTTGATCCGACTAGAAATACGATTGAACAATGGTTTCTTTTCCGTTTACTACCAAAATCTCTTAATAATCAAAACCTTAGTTAGCACTTAGTGAGATGTGTTCGTTGAAATCAAACGATCTTTTGTGAATGAATAAATGACGAAGTCCGTTCTTTACATTGTAAAAGATGTCATTTATTCGAACTTGACTAAGAAACATTTTCTTGAAAGAGAATAAGATCTGATTTTTTATCGAAGATTAGAGATTTAGTCTAAAAAGAAAATGGTTGACAATGATATTGTGAATCATTACCAGCTGTTTTGTTAGAAATTTTGTCAATAAAGTCATTGAAACGAACAATTCAACATCTTAACTATAAAAACTCAATTGAAAAATAGCTGCACATGTTTGACTATGAGTCTAATTGAATTGATGACATTGAAAATGATTTCATCGTATATCGTTTAAACACATCTGGGTACAGATCTGAATGCAGAGATGGGAATTCAGGGCGAGTGTGTGGAAGTGGATGCGTGGACAGATCATCCCTAAACTCATAGCTATCCATATGGACTCGCACATTGCCATCCACGTCCATTAAAATGCATTTAAACGTGAAAGCAAATCGGTCTTTATCCAAAATTTGACCTTGAACTACTCATTTCTGCAAAATATTTTTCATGAACATGGTACCATATCAACTAAAGCTTAATAAATTATTGATTGAATCACTTGACTACTGTACAACAAAAAAAAATATTTAAAAGACTTTTGGAAATCTATTTTCACAGCTTTTATTAATTTCATTGTCTTCTCTTTCTATTTTTTTTTCAGATTTTTGTCAATTATGTTAAAAACAATTAGAAAAACAAGATTCATCTATCCACTATTTTGTTTCATAGTACTTCTTATTCTCACAATTCGCACTTTTTTTATCTGGCAAACTTTAGTTTTAAAAACAGAAAACATGACGTCACTAATTCCAAATGTATTCAATGTTGAGGACAATCAAATTAATCATCAATACTACTCAAATGTTAATTATATTAAAAACAATTCAACCTCTTCAACATCAGCAAGCTCTTTACTATCAAAAATTAATAAACATGCTTTGACTATTACAAATTCAAAATTTATTCATCATAATAAAACATTAGAAACAACTATTGAATGTATTGGTTCATTATATAATCAATCTTGTTTGTATCACAATTTATATTATGTTGATAGCACATTTATGATTTTAACAGTTAAAGGAAGGGACTTACCATCATATTCGGTACGAATAGGTGCTTTTATACTATGGCCTACAACCCCACACAAACGTGTTTTTGATTCATATTCTCATCTTGAAAAATTTGTTCGTAATGTTATTGATCCAAGAATAATTCCATCTGTTACTCTTCATTTTAGTCAATATTGGCATGATAATATTGGTCATGCATTATTTGATGGACTTTATCCAGCATATGTTGCACTCACTCGTTTTTCTCCAAGACATCTTCATCCTTTTCGCATTCTTGCTGGAATAAACAACTGTAATGCATGTTGGAGTGAAGATATTTATAGTCGTTTTGGTGGTCTTGGAATTCTTAAACAAAGTGTTCTAAATAAAATGTCAAAAGGATATTGGTTTATGTTTGAAGAACTTGTTATGGGTAGTGGAACATTATGTCAACGTTGTATACAACCTAATTTACAATTACCTGGAGGTGTTGAATTAGATGGTTCAAGACTTTTTCGTGATAGAATCTATCAACAACATGGTCTTATTCATCCAATTATTAGACAAAAATCTTCATCTGAAAAGCGAACTCCACATGATCTTCTTTTAGCATATATTATTGATAATAAACGTTTTACAAGTAATGATAGAAAAGAAATCATTAATGCTATAAATGAAATAAATAATTATACGAATTCTTATTTGAATAAAACTAAAAATAACACAGCTAAATTACAATGGCCATTAGTTCGTGTCTCTTATCTTTTCTACAAGCAAGTTAGAGCTCCAAATCGTAGTTTCATTCAAATAAATGCCACACAAATTGATTCTCGATCTCCAACATATGAATTAATTGAAAATAATTTTATCGCTCAATTAAAAATCTTGCGTCAAATGGATATTCATATAACTGGACCAGGTACTGGACAAATGTATCAAACATTTTTATCAGATGGATCTATAACTATTAATCTTGGAGGTATAAAACCACGAGGATCAGAAAATACAGAAAAAGCATATAGTTCATATCTGGAACAATATATGACAAGTGGTACACCATATATTAAAGGTCTTTATTATCCAATTAATGAACGACAAAAAGGTATTAAAAAAGATGAAGTTATTAAATTAATTCGACAAGCATCAAAACTTATTCTTGAAGGTTTTTCATTACCAGTCAATGCTCATGATAATCTAGCACCTGATGGACAATTATTTGTTGAAATGTGTGAAAAAGATAAAGAATTTTGTTCTCAAGTTACAACAAGAATACCGAATACGAATTTTAGTTGTTTAGATTTCTGGGTAGAAGATTTTATACATGAACATCGTCAATGGCAAGCAGGAGGTTTTATTGATAATGGTCGAAATATTAGTTGTCCATTTAATCATTCATTGTTACATGAATTAAGAGAAAAATATGGAATTAAACACAAAAATCGAATCATTGATTAAAAAAATATTAAACAAAATTTTCATGCTTTACTTGAAATAGAATAAATTTTTGTAATATCAGTTTTAGTAAAACGATTAAGATATAGAATGTTAAGAGAATGGAAACATATCATTGATTATACCATATAAAAAGAGAATCTCTGACAAACTCATTGTTGTTGTTGTTGTTGTTAAAAACAAACTATGATTTGTTTGCTTTGTATGAGAATGAAACTGGAAGTCGACACTCTTTATTGACATGTCAATGTGTATTCTAATTATGAATATTGAAATCAAATGTGAGTTTTGCACAAATTACAATTGTTTCAAACATAAAATGTAGTAACATAAGATAAATTTAATTAATAGATAATTTTGTTTATTACAGGAATTAGTGATACTATGTTTTATAAACTTTTTAATTGCGATCAGAGTAAATATTGAACCATTAGATTTAATACTTTCGTAATCATTATATCTAGGGTATGGGTATGGGTGTGGATGTGAGTGTAGATGAGATGCATAATAGTAATTCAATCTTCTTGTTTTGACAAGAAGGAAACATCCTGTTTGAAGGCAGATGATTTCAAGGCTTCAGTTCAGAAGTAGAACTGTTTGAACACTAAATATACTTGTTGACTTTCTTGATCAACTCTGAACGCCAACTCTTGACTAAAAAAGACACGTTCAACAAGCGATTTGTATTTTCTTGTTGAAATCTATAACGGACAAACCAAATAATTTGTTTGTTGTTTCAAAAAATCTAGTCCACATACGCTACCTCTATTCATATGTCTAGGTTTCTCTTGAATTTCCCATTATTATGAATCAATGACCCGAATAAAGATATGCGTTTGCTAAGTGAATACTTAATTTAATCAATCAAATGACGAGTTTGATGGCGTATATCGAGAATATGACAAACAAAGAAATTTAAATATTAAATGGCATCGGACAGCGACCAACGATATTCTCACAGATTTCTAGCCCTTCCTCTTGATGATCCAGCTGAGATGAGCATCGACTCATACTAACTAAGAAAAAGCTAAATTATATATTTAAATATATGAAGCATGATAGAACTTTTTGAATATAAATTGTAAATGACAATACAAAGCTTCTATTTAAAAGTATTCCATTGCGACAAAAGCAATACTACAACCCATGTAACCAATTTTTCGAAATAATAGACATTGCAATGCATTATTTTCCACTAGAAATGCAATGAATGTAATTACATGATAATGCAACCTATTTCATGCATTACAATACATGAATATATCAACGCATTATAATGCATGAAATAAATTACATTATCATGTAATTGGGCAGATTATTTTTTAAAATGTATTTTATTGCATTAACAACTTTATACATTATACTCGTATGATTAGAATTCTATGACTATGCTCTTCCATCTATATTCTCCAAAAAAAAGTTTCCGGACACAACGTTTAGGGCTCTAGATTTCTATAGCATTTTATGAAGTATCCTTATTCTCATAATTATATCTGTATACCACTACATCTAAACCATTATAACTACACCGTCACCTATATCCTCTCATAACAATATCGCCCGATATCCAGACAATAATGACTCTACCGCTCTGACTTTATCGTTAAACCTACACTCTTATAACTATACCTGGTTGATTATACTTTTACAACTGTATGCTTATAAGCAGATGCTGTAACTATATCTTAAGAAGGCAAAAACAAAAATTCGGTATTCCAACATACTTGAAACGCGCATCAAAGCTATCCTAGAGAGCGTTCCAGATATCTGAAGTCTATTATCCATGGAGATCTCGAATATATTAGCTGGAACTAATGCTGTATAAATCTGTGTCACACTCAAGCTCTATTAGTTCATTTCAGTAAGAAGTTTGAATATCAGGAAAACACAATGAAGTGTTTGAGTATTATTGGGCAATAGGTTAACATAGAATTAATTCAAACTGATTTGCTCCTGATAGATATTCATAACACAGTTAAACTAGTTAAGAGGTTCTCAAAGATAACTATGAAATACGCTTGGAATACGATGAAGCGTAAAATTTCCATCTCTTCTTCCTTGCTACAATCTTGTATCTATACTCCATAACTAAACGTTTAGATCTATACTTTTATGACTACATTCCTATACCTAAATTTGTATGATTACAGCATTGAATTTATGCTCGTATGTTTACATGTTTGCTGGATGCACTGCTGAACGACATATATCAGGCAACAGAAGCATATGACGTGATGTGATTTCAATCAACTCTTAGTAGTTCATTCTTTTGAACGAATACAAGTAGTTGATGTTAACGACTATTTATCAATAAATGCAATCGAAAACGATGATCATTTATTTAATCAGCCTTTTACACTTAGTGTATGCTGTGTCTTACACATTATTATTCGAACGTCGTTCACAGCTAACATATTGCTAAATGTTATACTGATCGTTAACGCCATTAGATCATGATTTACGGTGACTTAACCGTATCACAAAGCTTCGATTATGATTGTTGTAGAGCAGTACTTTAGTAGTTCCCGTTTTTCGCTGTAGCTGAACGGCATAGAGTCGTATATGATCATGAGCAATTCATCTGGATAGCGACCACTGTGAATAAATGCATTTTTTTATGAACGTAACAATAGAGTTAATATTTTTTATCGATTTTCTAACTTGCTAGAGTATTCTTGAAAAAAGTGTGACACACAGAAAACTGTCACATAGAATCTCAGAGTTTTCAAATCACTTTTTCTCAATCTCTCTCTTCTTTAGGAAAATAATGAGTTCTCGAACTTTAAGACATGACTTTAAATAATGCATTGTAATAAATTGAGAATTTACTACATCACCAAAGATTACAACATTATTTCTAATAATGCATGATAATACATTGTTATCGTTGCTATTAACTTTTCTTTACTCTTTATTATTGTCTCCCTTTCTATCGCCATCACAGTGCGTAAAAAATGAGATATACAGTTGCCATGTAACACATTCAGATCATATCAGTTGATTCACTTACAATGGATGTAAAGATTACTCAGATTCGATTTGAAATGGTCGTAACGGCTCACTCTATTAATCGTTCGAAAATTCAATAGAACTCGCCAGAAAGATCTTAAATAAGGCTAAAAACTTTGGTTCTCTCCCTAAAAAAAAGCTCTACAAGATGGAATCGATATCTCGCAAATCTAAGATTATAATTGAGTAACCACCTACGGCAGTAAGTCGTGGTTTACATGGACTGGCTCTTAACTCAAACAATAATTACTCATTGTCCAGAACGTATCTCAACTGGTTTTTTTTTTCGATGATTATTCCACATTCAATTTTATTGTCTTGTATTTATTGATGTATATGAAAATGAGAGGCAGAAAGCCTTCAGTCTTTTTACATTAAATCTCCTCGTATCAATTCGGTATTTTTAATCTATTCAACGTTTTTATCTACTGATGCGAGTCGACATTAGTAGACTTCATTACTTCTGAATAGATTAAGTTGATTAAAATGGCATGACATGTAACAAAAAGTTATAGATGCTCGTTGTTCTAGGGTGTGAGGATATGTTGACATGAGAGAATAGGCAACAGATAATAATGACCCTGTTACATCTATCTATCATTCTATATTTTCTCATTTCATTCACATAGTTACTTCATTCACTGAAAAAAAAATGTCATCATCATCGGATGCAAATCTCATTGCTGCATTGAACAATGCTTCAACTCAACTAAATCGTTACTTTGGAATTTTCATCTTTCTCTTTGGTATGGTGGGTAATACTCTCAATATATGTATTTTATTACAACGAGCTCTCCGTTCAAATCCATGTGCATGGCTCTTTCTTGCTTCATCAATTGTTAATGGTATTGGTATTCTTGCTGGTCTTACTCCTCGACCGTTATCAACTTGGTCTGCTGATCTAACAAATACAAATCAATTTCTTTGCAAACTTCGTGCCTTTCTTCTATTCGATGCAATCACTATTGGTTCTTGGCTTATCATGTTGGCTGCAGTTGATCGATGGCTTTCATCAAGCATCAGTGCTATTCGACGACAAAGAAGCACCTTGAAGAATGCTCAACGCGGTACAATACTGATTGTCACCGTTTCAACTATTATTGAAGCACAACAATTCTATTGCTTCGAAGCCAATCTCACCAATACACCACTCAAATGTTATACACAAACAATGATATGTGGCATTGTATCGGACCTATTCTTTGCTCTGATTACAATCCTAATTCCATTAATATTGATGATCATTTTTGGTTTGCTGACCATCTCGAATGTACGTAAATCACAATTTCGTTTGCATCCGACGAGTAAGACGATGGATATTCGTTTGACTCATACCACAGCAAAGAACAACACTAGAAATACGATTCGACAGAAGAAAACAGATCGTCGTTTTATGATAATGCTGTTTGTTCAAGTTTTTCTCATTTTTCTACTTACTTTTCCTATGGCTATAGATAAACTCTATACAACCATCACTCGATCCATATCCAAGTCTCCATTAGAAATAACTATTGAACATTTTGTTTTTAATTTATTTCTTCTGTTTGTGTACATGTCTTGTGGAATGCCATTTTATATTTACACATTAAGTGGAGGAAGAGTATTTCGTAAGGCTCTCTTCAGTTTTCTGGAAATATTAGGCCGAAAGATAATGTGTCGACGTCGTTGATTTTCCATTTTTTCGAATAAAATTAAATTTAATGCAGCACACATTTGTAATGTTTTATGAATAGATAATATATGACGAATAAAAAAAAAATTCTATAGAATACATGATTATGTTTAGTCAAATATTATGATGAATTCCAGAGAGACGTACATTCTAAAAAAAATAGATTTTTTACTAAACTTTAAAAGTTTCGCATTTTTATGCCGAACGATTTTAGGTTCGATGAGTTTTTTTTCAGAACTTTTTAAAGTCTCATAGATTTCATCAGGTTACACAAGTATTCAGCGGAATCCTTTGCAAGTTTCGTAGGGAAACTGAAAGTTTCGTATATCTGACACAGAGCAGTCAATAGTTTTGTAGGGCATCAGAAGGTTCGCCATATTTTATACGAAACGGGTGTGAATGTCCTCTTCATCTTCTGCTACACCTACATCCACACTCTTGTTGGAAAAGTAAACTATTGTTTCAATAGTGCAAATGAATCATTTTTTAGTTCTCTTGCAATAGAAAATCAATTCAACTCTATTTAAAATATTGGCAAATTTTTTAAAGAACACAAAACTACGTTTGTATGATTGACTAAATTTTTATTTATCTTGATTTACGAAAAAAAAAACAATCTAAATTAAATTCTTCTTCAGTTGATGAATTTGTATCGTTGTGATGAAAAAAAAGAACATACATCAATTTTTCGTCTGCATAAGAATTATGCTCTCAACGAAAAATATCATTTTACACTTTTATATATCACAATAACACAAAATAATCATCATTTCTCAAATACAAAAACAAAACAAAAAAAACTTTTTATTGATTATTTTGAATAGCTTCATCCAATGCATTTTTAATCAATTCTAATGGAAATGAACCTTGAATTGGTTGAGCAATATAACTAAACTTTTTCATATGATCAATAACATAAAATCGAATTGGTCATGGACTATAAACTTGACTAAATGGATTATTTTTTGATACTGGATCAATTAAGAATGGAATTCGATCATCATCACATTTTGGTTGAACAGGATGCAGGTGTGAGTGTTTTTACGGAAACGACCGACACCTCCCACTCACTCACTTAAAATTACCAAAAAAGTTTTCCCTATTAAAACTAATTATATTGATGATAATTTATATCTCGAACATGTAAGTTTCAATATGAGAATAACGAAAAAACTATTCAATATTTTAATTGAAAAATAGATATAAAAATATAAATATAAGTCATACCAATTTATATTTCTATCCTTCGCACTTTGCACGGTCAAGAATGATAATCTTTATTGCGAAACTGAACTCGAACTGTAGAATTTCGCTTTTTACTGGATTAATATTGAATATAAAGCGAATATAATGTTAACTAATATTATTCAAATAAAAAAAAGATTTTGAATCTGTTTTAGAAGAAATTTTTAACTAAATCGATCATTCGATATTTCATTTGTTTGAAGAAAATAAATTAAAATTTTTATATCAATTACAAGTTTAGAAGAAAAAAATTTTTTATCTAAATAGATATTTATTTTCAAATATTAAATTAAAAAGACACGATCAATGAAATATTCAATTGTTATTACATTTGAATTAATCCTTTTTTTGTTTTATAGTTCAGAAAATTATTGTCATTTTCATCGGACGATGCTCTGTAGTATTATTCTTTATCCATTTTTCAATTATTGTTAGATGCCATTCGTTTGAATACATTGATGAGGAATATACGTAAAGTGGAGAAAAAAAGTTTAGCACACTTTTTATTTTTTACATTCTTTTTCAAGAACAATTTATAGAAGAGATCCAAATAGTGATTTCTATAGCTCTCAGAGTGACCTACAAAAGTGAGATGTGAATAATTTTTAGAGCACAGATATTTTAGTTATTATTACACAAAAACATTTTCTCTACTGAAAAGAAGTTTAGCATATTTTTAGTATTTAGCCGATTTTTTCGTTATCCGACGATAACTGAAAGCTGTTCTATGCACCATCCAATGCAGAATTTAATGGGCTACATTTCAGTATAAAGAATTAATTCCGATATTAAATTATTAATTAATTATTAGTTAGTAATAATTAATAGCTAGATAATAAAATGTCGACTTGTTTTCAACTTGCAAGATATTTCATGAGATCGAGCATTAAAAATTAAGCAAAATTATTTAATTATAATTACAAAACAGATCACTTTGATAGGATTTTCAGAGTGTTTTCAGTTTTAACTGGTCATAGTGATCGTTAGTTTTAAAATGAGATATGACCCTATTCTAAAATTCTGGAATTCTAGAAATTTCAACAGAGCATATCAAAAGAGAAACACCTTGCGTAGTGACTTTTTTCCTCAAAATTTCTCTATTTTTCGCAAATTTATACCCTCAACATTATCTCACACCTCGCAAATTTACTCTCAGTCTGAAATATACTGCTACCCTCATCCTGAACCTCAGCCACTTAACCCGAATGCAGTCGTGCTCGGATCTTCTCCCATCCTCCAATTCTAATATTTTGAACATTTCAAAATTTTCAAAGTTCGCAAGCTCCAAGATTCTGATTGTTTCAGAATTCAGACAGCTTCACAATTGCAGAATTCTGAAGATTCCAATTATTCAAGCCACTAGACTGGTGGTGACAGGTGTTGTAGTTTTTGAAAATTCTGGAATTTTACCTAGAATTCCAGAATGTTGAAATCGGACCGCTGATGAATTTTGCTCAATTTTTAATACTCTTTCTCATGGAATATTTTGCAAGTTGAAAACAAGTCGACATTTTATGGACTAGCTATTAATTATTACTAAATAATAACTAGGATGTGGGTATGAATATATAGATCTGGATGAGTGGTGTACCTTCCAGTACACCTGCACCCACACCCGATTGGAACTCTGACTTGACTCACCCTCATCCAATTTTGAACCTTTTCTTGTGATATTGTTCGTGATGAAAAGTCATATATAAATGAATCTATTCATTGGTGTCCTCATGTTGCATATCATTTTATATGAATATAGAATGATATACGATATGTTGAAAGAAAGGTCATGTGCCAAAGATTATCTGTGAATACATATTTCTTACTAACTTTTCCCACCATGTACATTCTTTCTCTTTTTGTTTTTTGAGAGAGAGTCAATTCGTTATGTTCTCAAAGATAACAATCAGTTTCTGTGTATCCGTAATCTAGTTTCTATTTTATTGTGCAGATATCAAATCGCCAAATTAAGACCATCATTTGTTCCAAATCTCAGGGCATTTTTTGACTCATAAAAGCAGCTCGCGATTGACATAAGTCAATTACAGCATTCACAAGCAAGTCAAAATCAGCCAAGGTACTACGGTGATTGGTAATACAAATTCGAATATGAAGACGCTCCTTGAGTCGTGCCGTTGATGGAATTGCAATACCTTGTTCTTGCAAATCATTGACGAGTTCATCATTGAATATATCAATAGTTTCTGGATCAGCGCCTTTGAGTTCATGAGGCTCCATTCGAAAATTGACAATGTTGAGTGAGACAGGAGTGAACACTCGGATGAAATCATGTTGGCTCAACAAATTAGCCAAATATTGAGCTTGATCACAATTGGCCGCAATCGACTGACCCAGTCGCGTCATTCCATGTTCCTTAATATTGAACCAGACTTTTAGAGCCCGACATGGTCGTGAAAGTTCAATCCCCATTTCGCAAAACCAAGGGTTATCACTAGCAAATCCTCGTCTGGTGCCCACCAGGTAGTTGCGAGGTGATGAGAACGTAGCATGAAGCATGGCAATTTCGCGTAAGAGAACGCATCCAGCTGCATAGGGTGCATGCAGCCATTTGTGGAAGTCGAATGCCAAGGAGTCTGCTTCCGATAAGCCAGCAATCAGATGTCGCCGATTTGGATCGAGCACAACAAAACTACCAAAGGCTCCATCAACATGAAACCAGATGTTGTTTTCTTTTGCTACAGTTGCTAGAGCAGCTAAATCGTCGAAAGCGCCAGTGCTTACGGTGCCTGCAATCAGAATGAAAGAATGGCATTGAAGTTTTTTTTTGTTTTCATTTTAAATTAGGGATCTCTGAGACAGTCTCAAATGCTATTTTGTGATCAGTATATTCATATTCAAGCAGTTTAATGCCTTTTTTTTAATTATCTAATTCTATTTGAACTTTTCACCAGTATGTCTGACGATGTTTATTCTACTAAGTCAAAACAATTTTTTATATTCTTAATACTATCTGTTCTGGAACAAATTTCTATTGTTAGTAATGGCTTTAATGAATACAGAAAAAAGCAATTTGCTCCTTGTATTTCTTAATGTATCTGACAACCAGTGTAGTGTTAGCGCTATTAGAAAATCTATAAAAATTTCTAAAAATTCCAACAACAAAAGCAGCAGCACATTCAATGAATAGGGAATGCGCAGGAAAGCAACTCTTATTCGTTTCATTATTTCCATACTTCAAAAAACAATCTGTACCTGACGAAGTATGTTGCTAGCCCCTGATATGTATATCTTACATCTCTCAGTTATGTAAAAATATTTAAAATTTCTGTTCGGTAAAGTAATATGCTTGAAAACGTTATCGTCGTATAACTAAGTTCGATTCTCTACGATCATTTATAATAACATGAGGATATGATCTATACCATCATGTTGAACATTTCAGAATCGATTCTAATCCGGAGACAATTGCCAGAATTCCGAGCTGAATGATTTCCCGAGATGCCATGTCGGAATTAGGTTGATATATTAAAAGATGACCATACTAACTTCATCGAAGAAGGTGCACGTTCAGAATCCCGTGTAATTCCGTATTGAATTAGTTTTCGAAATCGCACGAAACGTCTCGAACTTTCTTCTCATTTCGGAATTACTAGTTCTTCAATGAAATTATGAAGGTTACCTTCTGACATATCAACATGATTCCAGTGCAGAATTCCATGCAGCTTTGCACTGAATCAATTCCTGGAATTCTGTGTCGGAATTACGTTCAGATATTAGAAGATAACTTCAATTACTTCATCGAAGAAATAGTAACTCTAGAATTCTTTGTAATATCGTGAGAAATCAGTTCCCGTAATTCCATACAACTTCTCTTGATTTCGGAATAACTTGCTCTGAGTATGGATGTGAGTAAGGGTGTAGAGGATGGGTAAAGAGGAGAACTACACCCACTCGCTTTAGATGGCAAAAACTATGGTCTCCCTTTATTTTTATCGAAACATGTGGTTACACGCATTACTGTGGATTAATGAGACCAAAAGGAATAACATCGGTGATTTTGATGGGAAGAAATTTGTTGGACTGTTTGATATCTAATCTTTGCGTAACACTAGTGAATAGAGATAGTGCAACACGATAACTTTTGTGGAGGGAGGGCGGACCATAGAGATCGTCATGGAGACAGGCCGAGTGCAACATTGATCGCCCAATCAACTGGAAAAATCGAACATTCTTCAACATTGGAGACTCATCCCTTACAATTCCCCTGATCATTCAAGACCGCTACTGAAGAATGATACATGGAATATGGAGGAAAAATCATTTGAATTGGTTGCACAAGATGGCTACTACACGTTACACACACATTTGATTTTGTAGTCACAGTGATAAAGAAATTAGCTTCAATGAATATACAATCTTTACACATACCTGCATTTCCAACAACACAGAACGGTGTGAAACCTTGCTGACGATCCTCGTGAATCATATTTTTGAGTGCTTGAATATCCATTCGATATTCTTCATCGACAGGCACTAGTCTCAGTGCCTGGATTCCCAAGCCCAAAAGTTCGAGAGCCTTGGCTACACATACATGTGTTTGTGTTGAAGAGTAAGCTGTCAATCGAACACCCAACGATAATAAGCCCTCTTGTCTTACTTTGTTCAGGGCATGGTAGCGAGCTACAGCTAAGCAAATGACTGCTGCCATCGATGTTCCACTGACAATAACACCGCCACCAGTCTCTGCTGGAAATTCGAATAATTGTCGCATCCATTCAATCACCTGTCGTTCGATAAGTACTCCGCTATGACTGCACAAACCCACATTTGAGTTCATTGTCGCCGTCATCATTTCGGCAATAACACCTCCCACCGTACCCGATCCATGCACCCAACCCCAGAAGCGAGGATGTGTGTTTCCACCAGAATAAGGTAAAACATCATCAAGCATATCTTGGCATACCTCTGCAATAGGCTTTCCATGTTCTGGCAGAGCTTCACACAAAAGTCGACGACGTACATCAGTTGGCAAAGGAGTCCAAGCGGGACGATCACGAGCATTTTCCAGAAAATTTAATGCGACATCCAGCATCTTGTGAGCTTCAGCACGTGTTGCTGGCCAATCAATTGGATCCAGAGAAGCACACATTGGAGCTAGTTGCGGTGTGGGTTCTGTCGGGGATCGCGCACTATCGTAGCTAGAAGGAACTCCGCCGATACTAGCCAACTGATATGCATGTGTTAACACTAGCGAATTTCGTCTATAGTACGTCTCATCTTGAGAAACATCCGAGCTTGTGCTCATTCGATGAATGACTGGTTCCGCAGTCTCTTCGAATTGATCATCCATGATTGAATTACAGATGTCAATCAGAATCACGAACAGAAGATTTGATGTCTCACTGACGTTCTTTGAGCGTTATCAAAATCACTTTTACACACCGAGCTATAAGGAGAAAAGCAACATATAACTATCAGAATAATAAAGTTGAACCATGGCCCCGCCATTTGTATCGACCAGTTCGAAATTGTTGGTTTCAAGTAAGTTGATAAAAATTACATCGTTGAAAGAGAAGAAAAAATTCAGTAAGATTTATAAATTATCTCTGGAGGGTATAGTGAATTTCCCAGCGAAAGTTTAAAAAAATAGGTTTCATAGCAATTAATATAAGCATCCATCTTTCTTTCTGTGAACAACCTATTTTTTTCGTTCCTTAGTCTTGATCGTTCTGATTTACAAACATGAGTACAGTTCTTTACATATACTTAACTCTAAGAAAAATAAGCTTGATAGCGAACTTTTTTAAGTTCAGCTAGAGATGCAAAACCTAAAATTGTTCTTCCCGTAAATACACGATCAAAAACTTCGCTACGAAACCGTTTTAAGATCCATAGCATGAGAATAGGTTTGGTATCAAAAAAAACATAAAACAGCGCTTTCTTTTTGACAAACGTATCGTTTTATTTTCTAAAATAAATACTTAAAATTGATACCACCGTTGGAATAAATTTTAATAAAAAAAGTAACTTAGATAAGTAATTTTTTTTCTTTTCTTTACGAGGTAGACATGAAAAGTTGCCTCGTTTTCGTCAAGGAGGATGTTATCTGATTACAATGACAAACAATAGCGTGCGGCAGTATACACCCAGTGTGAACATGTCGTACTCCATCATATACGATAGATTACAACTGTCGTAATGCATGTTCTTGGCGGTGACGAAATTACAACTTATTCGCAACCGTTTACGGTACAAAAACGGTAACTTAATGACAGTAAATGGCGCAAATACAGTCTGTAAACGGGCACCGTAACTGTAAATTTGGATAACGATGAAGTACCATAAGCAGCCTATATACGATCCGAATGCTATCCGTATACGGTGCGGTATGATACTCTTCGTAGGCACTTAATCCAATGAATGAGTCGTCTGTAGCTTTTTGATTTTCTTATAGTGTGTAATATCGTGATGTCTAGTGCTGTTTGCCGTGACTTAAACACATTAATCAATGAGCTAAGTGTACTGACCGACTATCCTACAGATCTCTATGTAAGTTTAAATATGTTAATATTATTCTTATGATTTTCTGTATCGTTCGAAAATTGTTGCTGATATTCTGATAAATGCCCGAACGATCATGATTCCTGTGCTGTTACATCACGCGTATTTGTGCGAGTTGGATTTTTTCTCCTTGATAAGTTTCTCGATCTGAATTTCGCTCATAATTGTTCAGGATGAAACTATTTCGTGAAAGGTTTGACGGATTGCCTTGATGGCTCGAAGTGCTTGGCTCTTGATGTTTCACACTATAGTCACTGGTGAAGATTGTCTCTCTAACTCCGTTACACTAGTAAGTGAATGGAAGCTTTCTGTCCTCACTATTACAGATTTTGCTATAGCCGGAAGCTTTCGTCTTTATTGTCAGGTATCGCTCTCTGACAGGCAGGTTCTGACCTTCATCTGTGCAGATTGGTTTCCGCTGGAAGCTTTCCCACTGTTACTCTTATCCACATCCAAAATTTACCGTTATGTTTGTATCCTTTTTATGTGTAATGTCATTAAAGTCGCAGTTACATTATATTGATTCTCGTTTTCTATCTCTTTAATAACTGAAATTAATACATAGAGCAGAAGAAAAAAGAGATAGACTATTTGCAATGTCTTGGCACCAAGTATATGACATTTAAAATGGATTCTTTTGCTTCTCGAATCTTTCTAATATTTTACTCACCACAGTAAAATAATTAAAGCCGAAGTGTTCTGAATAAAGTTAGTAATTTATGTTGCTGTTGATAGAAGTTTTTTGTGTCTTACACCGTTGGATTGTTGTTATCAAATGATTCGTATCTTACTTTTACAACGAGTCAAAGTTTTATCTTCCGTTTCTGTCTGTCTTTATCTTCTTTCTTTTTAGTTTCTTTTTAGATCCTTATCAAATGAGTACTCTATGAAAAGAACAGCATATAACAACAATAAAATATTTACCGAAAGAGAATACGACGAATGACAGCAAAGAAGCAAAAAACTCATACTTGTTCAATGACATTCATTTCATATTGAGTACATAGATTGATATTTGTTTCTCTATGATTTCAGATGGTTACGATCGTTCAAAGATAGACAGTGACTAGCAAGAAGACATTTCAGTACATCTCTATTCGATGATGCGCTTACTGATAGTTAATATAGCACGACTGTTCTAAAAAACTACTTGCATCTTATGTTATGTTGAAATAAATAAAATTTATATTATCATGAACATGAAACAGTTCTTCTTTAAGATGACGGTGTGGGTGCGTCTGTGGATATAGCTTTGAAGCGTTGATATTAGCCTTCCCTTTGCTCACACGCCACATTTTTTATTGATTTTTTTGTCTCTCGTATTACCTTCATTCGCTGATTCAATATCGAGCACTTGCAGATAAAAGTGAATGCCGTATAGCTTTTTGCATAGAAATTGTAGCTTATACTGGAACAAAAAATCGCTCCTAATGAATTCATAATGTAAACACTTCCCAGTGTTACATGGAAACGCAAACAAAAAAAATGAGTCATCAACGCTGATTGCGCATTTCTCTTTATTCTTTATGCTGTGAATCAATGATTGTAGACGTAATTCGATAGTATGACGTTTAAGTCCGCATCCGTCTTTTATCATGTTACAAACAATTATGCCGATTATTCCGATGTTGAAACGATAGGTGACAGAGAATCGAACCTTCATTTTCAGTTCATTTATTTATCGAAATCGACCCAATCAATAGCACAAGCAAAACACAAGAATGAATCAAGCGATTTGATTAATTTTATTTTCAAAAGTAGTATGTTTTTTTTTGGATACGATGGGAAGAAATAGATTTCAATATCATCTTAGCAATTACAAGTCAAAACTGAATTATCCAAAGAAACACTTTGTGCTTTGACCAAATTGATAATTGACAACAGTTGAACAGCAGAGAAAAAACAAACTTTCATGCTATCATGTGTATAAGGATATTTTTGTCGCAATGAAATTGATTTACAGATGTCAAACAGAAATCCAAGAAAGGCATAAACACTCACTTTCATACCTTCACGATTACAATGCAGAAATTATTGTTATCTTTATATGACAAATGACTCTTTCATAAAATTGTCCTTATGTCACAATGATAAGTCATTAATACACGTAGATAAATATATAAATAGTTTTTCATCGGCAACATAATAAACAGTTACCTTCAACACTCTCTGGAAAATGAATACTTTCATGTTCGTATTTCTGCTGGCCATCTCCGTTACCATCTGTGTTGCAAACCCGCTCTCTGGTAATGCTTGTGGAGGTATCTCACCTGTAACTTGTTGGACAAGAACGGAGCGCGACGACACAATTCGGATGACTATCGACACGAGCCAATGTCATTTTCAATACACACCCATCTATTTCACGAGCATCACTGGTGGCGTTGGCCATTATCTGCTTACTGGTATCAATGCTATCTATGAACCAAGTGTGTACGGATTTACTATCAATGTCCGATCGATAGATGGTGCATCGGCTGATACACTCATGCAAAGATCAGCTCAATGGACAGTAAACTGGTTCGGTTTCTTTCCCTAAACGAGAAAGGAATTGCTCTGTTCTCTTACTTGAATAAATCTGAAACATTGTTTTCATTTCATGATTTGCGCTACTTTTCCATCATTTAAATTAACTGGTTTCCAACTAGATTGGAAACATCGTTTTTACAGCTAGAAACTTTGTTCTATTCGAGTCGTAACAGTAGGATTGATAAACATGATATCACAGTTCGATACACTTGCATAAGTCATTCCAATTTTCATTATTTTGAAGTTATGTTTTTCTCATAGTAAATTTATCGTAAAGCATTTATAGACGATGACAAAATCTATAGTCAGCATATCTAAGAACAAAGGTAATTGTTTTGAAATGTCTAAAATGCAAATTGCTATTTTGTTCTGTATCAAAGTTCAGGTCATTTATAATTATCCAGGTTCGGTTCACTTCACACAATCTCCAATTTTAGGGGTTCCATGCTCACTATTTTGAATTGGATCCTAAGTCCAACGCCTTAACCATTCGACTACTCTGACACAGAATATAAAGCCTCTCCGGCACATTAGAAGACCCTTCCCGCATAGATGATTTTGTAGTTCTTCTACCATGTTTATACTTTTGGTTTCTATAAATGTGCATTTCTTAGTTTCGCTTTAAATTTTTTTTCTGTCCTTTATGGCATTCAAGGCAGTCTGTATTTGAATAATATAAAATGTAATTAATGGAAGTATGTTTATAGCATGTGAAAAACAATGCACAGTGGGCAATTTTTCATAGGCACGTGGACATTTTGTTTTAAAACACTCCAATATATTCAAAAATACCTTTCTTATAGGTTTTCGCATATGCTCTTTTCAATAGAGTAGTTTGCGGAACTCAGAAGTACTTTTAATTTGGTTTTCTAAAAAGCATTGGTTTTCCAGAGATCAAAATGGTCTTTTAAATATCTAGTTTCGATTTGAACATCATTTCTTATAGAGTTTTGAGTACGCTGATTTTGAATCTGGTAATAGAAAGATTTTACGGAACCTTCAAGAAGGTTTTCATGAAATCCAGGTCTTTGGAAACTACTTTTAATAGAATACTTAAATTGAACCGTTTTCTATGTTTTAGCAAATGGTAACAAGAACTCAGACTAGAAAAGCACGTCGTCGTATGGTATATAGTGTCCACCACCACCCCTTGACTCTTTGTTTTTATGGAACTGGTCAAGTCATTAGACTTCTTTTACAAATCGTGGACCGATACTTCAAAGTCATTTTTCGTGGATTTGCTATGTATACGCAAAAAGAATCAAAATTGATGCTAAAACTAAAATTAATGAAAAAAAACTTGTAAAAAAAAATTCGAAATGATTAACTATCTACAAGCATACTATAAAAAAGGCTATCGTCTTCATTGTTACATGTCAAGACTGTTTTGTCTTTTCTGTTTCTTTTTGCCCAAGAATGTTGCGTGGACCCGCTTGGTAGCATCTAGCTTTGCTCCAAGAGATGGTGTTTGCAAATTCCAAAGATCCAAGATCTTACCATTGTTCCCGGCTGTATCACAACCAAACATCATTAACCTAGTTAATGATCTTTGCAGATTCGTAGTTTCACGTTATTGCGGGCGAAACAGTGAAAAATGGGATTTTCACGTATGACTGGATTTTGTTGAAAAGTGATCTCGGCTTGAAGTCGTTGAGAGACACATCATTCAATGCAGTTTCTCATGCTGATTCCGAATATATGAGTAGTTTTGTCTGAAAGTACTTCCAACCCCCAAAAAAAAAGAATAACCTGAAAAACCGGAGGTTTTACAAAAACCTCTAACCCAGTCCAGAAGCATTCACGCATCTTTACGCTAAGTGAGTAGATGTGTCAGGCAGATTTAAACATTATATGAAAATTTCGTGCGTTTTAAAGCTGTGCTAAAGTGTGCGCACTTACTACACTGAATACGTCTTTTTTGAAAAACCCTCGGTTGAGAAACAATGCATGGTTTTTCTAACAGAGAGACTGTTAGAGTAAAGTCTTTGCGATAGATCGATAGAATAAGAGCTCTACTTTCAGAATCTGTATGATTTATTCTTTAAATCATTCTACTTTCTTTGAAACAAAACACTTTTCTCTAAGATGACAGAAGTCAGGTCATTTTTTAGATCTAAGCTTTTTTCGATGTTCTAAAGAGTTAAAATAAAAAAAAGGTTATCAAAAATCGGCAATTGGTTAAAGTATATTAGACATTATTCAAATCGCGAAAAATATCACTTTCATTTTTTCACCAAATGTCCACGTTGTTGCCCACTGTGTCAATTATGTTCATCTCAATTCTAAGCAACAGAAGATAAATCATAAATCCATTAGTAACAATATTTGAATAATTATTTATGTACGTTTTTTGGTTTTGTTAGTCGAAAAACCTGAACAAAAGTAAGACAAATTTGACTACTTTAAATAACTGACATCATTGTTAAGTAAAGATATAATTATTTCCAAAAAAAAAA